GCTGGCAGTTCAAACCCACCAGCCACTCCTCAGAAGGAAGGTTGGGCAACCTACTTCCGAAGCGATACTGCCTGGAAACCCAAGGAGGGGTCGCTATGAGTGGGTTCCAACTCGACGGCACACAACAACAACATCTGTCAGCGTGTCACACTGTGGTAGCTTGCATGCTGCTGTAGTGCTGGAGGCTGTGCCACTGGCATTTCAAATACCAGCAGGGTTACCCACAGTGGACATGTTTCAGTGCAGCTTCTAGACTAAAAACACACTAGGAAGAAGGACCTAGTGATTTACTTCTAAAACAAAATGCCCAGTGCAAACTTTATGTAAAACTTTATGTACCATTGACTTAGTGCTGGAAGATGAGCCCCTCATATTGGAAGGCACTCAGTATATAACTGGAGCACAGCGGCTGCAACAATGGGCTCAAACCTAACAGTTTTAAGGATGGCATAAGACTGGGCAGTGGTTCGTTCTGCAGTACATAGGATCATTATTTGTTGGAACCAACTTGATGACACCTAACAACAACAACACCTTTAATTTTTTTCTATAAGTGTAATCCTATAACCTTTAGTGGAGGTAACAACAACAACAACAAAGGAAAACTCTACAAGTTTTCCCAAGTATCTTTGTACATCTCCTATGTACATACACATTTCTGATGGGCTGCATATTTTATAAAATGAATGTATCAAGGTTTACTTACCCACATTTCTACTGTTTATACCTTTTTTCCTGTTGTAAATAATGCATCTTTAGGTAACAGGTACTTCCCTCTATTTAGGTTCTGGCCTTTTGGGATTGGATATTTTTAACATATTTTTACCTGATGGTACAAAAGCTTTTCTGAAGTACTTGAATAATAGTTGTAGAGTTGAAAGTGTCTAAAGAGATTTTTTTAATCCATCCAGCCATCTAAGGCCAGCTGGCTAGGTTTGACCCCTCTTCTGTCAGAGCTTATGGTCTCTCATGATGGCTGTTCTCACTAGGAGGTTAAAGTGAGCCCTTCTGTGCCTTTCACCTACTGGTCTTATTTCTACTCTTTATAGTAGAGGTTGGAAACTATA